GCACAGGACTTGAGGTCAGTTCCCAGCACTGACATCAGGAGGCTCAGAACTGCCTATAACTCCAGCTCCAGAGGATCTAATAGCTATGACTCCTGCTAGCACCTGCACTCGTGTGCACATACCAATATGCAGGCACACATGCATACATATAATTAAAAATACATAAAAACAAGGGCTGGAGAGATGGCTCAGTGTTTAAGAGCACTGACTGCTTTATTAGAAGACCTATATTTAGTTCCCAGCACCCATATGGTGGCTAACAACCATCCATAACTCCATTTCCAGGGGACCTGATGCTCTGCGCATGGTACACTTACATGCATGCACACAAAACATGAGTACACATAAAATAAAAATAAATAAAAACAAGAGAAAAAAGAAAGGAGAAACAGAGAGAGGAAGAGGAGGAGGAGGAGACAGAGGAGGAGAAAAGAAAGAAAAGTGAGTGGAAGCCTGGAGGACAGTTAAAAAGCAAGACTTTCCTATTACTTCTGTTCATATTCTCAGCCATATTGTGTTACAGGGTAAACTCTGTTAGGATGACTGCACTATACTCTTCAGTAGTAGTATCTAGCTTCAAGATAATGCTCGTACTGATTTCTAACAGAGTGTTAGGAATCTTTTTGAGACAGAGTGTTATGTATCCCAGGATGGCTGGAACTCATTATGTAACAAAGCCTGATCTTGAACTCTTGATCCTTTTGCGTCCACCTTGGGTACTAGGCTTATATGTGTTCTGGGTCACCAAGCCTAGCTTCATCCTCATTTGTCTCTGGCACATTTCTTTTCTGTGAAATTCATCCTCATTTTTCTCTGGCACATTTCCTTTCTGTGAAAGGAGGAGGAGGCCGCAGAGGTCAGGTTTATTCCTTCCTCAAGTATCCACCAAGAGCAAATGTGCTGAGTAAAGCAAAAGACATCTTAGATGTAAAAAAGCACTTCCAACAATGATGAAAATGAAAAGCAGCCCTTAAAATGTGTCGCTGTGGTGACTCATATCTCTAATCCCAGCACTTAGAAGTCTGAGGTAGAAGGATTGCAGTCAGTTTGAGGCCAGCCTGGTGTACCCTGTGAGAATCTGTCTGAAAAAGGGGGAGGGGGTGACAGTGAAATGGCTCAGTAGGCAAAGGCACTTGCCATTTATGGTCAACTCCTGGGACCCACATGGTAGAGAGAATTGACTCCTACAAGTTGTCCTATGATCTCCATATGTGCTCCAATGCACACGAGTGTCCAGAGACAGACAGACAGACAGACAGACAGACAGACAGACACACACAAATTAAAATGTAATAAAAAGTTCTTAGGAATGGGGAAATTTCAGCTACTACCATCCCAAGGACTGGGTGGGAAACATCTTCATCCAAAGTATTCCTGGGATTCAGGACTGCTCTCCACCCAGTTCCTTTCTAGCATTGCCTCCCCTATGCAGTTTCCTCTGAAGAAGCAATGCCATTTAGAATGTAGAAGCTTCTTTATTCAGCGAGTTTAGGGTAGTAACAACACCTGTGCAGGCAATTACAAATCCAATTTCATGTTTCTCTTGAGCTTGATGTAAGCTTTACATAATACAATCACATACAGGTTTTTTTTCCCTTCTTTTGACTTTGATGCATAGGACTTCTTGTAGGTCCAGAACAATCTCTATAATCAAGACTTTCCATCTGGACACCAAGTCCAGGTCCCAGGTCAAATCCCTTCTGTGTGAGTTTTTATGTGAATGTGTTTGTGTGTATGTATGTATGTATATATGTGTGGTGTATGTATGCATTAATTTTTGCATGTGTGTGTGCAGGTATGCATAGACATGTATGTGTGTATATGCATATGGAGGTGAGATATTGACATCTAATGTCTTCCTCAATCACCCCATCTTGTATTTTTGGGATAGGCCTCTGAATGAATATGGACCTCACTGATTAGCTAAGCTGGCCGGCCACTGAGCTTCAGAGCTCCACCTGTCTCTGCCCTACCCCCATGCACCTCCCTGCCAGGTTTTTACGTGGGTGCTGGGATTCAAATTCATGTCCTCATGCTTGCATGCAGGCATTTTACTGAGACAACTCTCCAGCCCTTGAATTTACCTTTTATTTCCTGCCACTTGATTATGTTGCTTCCAGCCATCTTGGACTTCAGCTCTAGAATGTCCCTGCACTGCCCTCTGCTCACACTGGTCCCTTACCTTGCTTTATTGTTTTATTATTTGCCTATATGTCCTTGAACATTTTGAATTCAGCTCATAAAAACCCAAACCTCTTCATACCCTCCATGTTGAACTAACCTGTGTGTGGGTGGCTAGACTTTATTCCCATGTCTTTCTCCCCACACACACTGCCATATGCCTCACTATATCTAAATGTAATTGTGGAGATTAATCTGGTCTCAGGAAGATCAATCTAATTTTCAAGTCACGTATAATCACAGTAGGAGGTTAGATGGGGGGTTAGATTAGAAGTTCTGATCACATAAGCATGAAGTGATATACAAAGAGGTACAGCACAAAGGTGTGTTTCCCTGGCCATTGTGAAGAATGAGAGAGTGCCACATCTGAGATATGTCTTTTCTAGCAGGACTATTTCAACTCTAACCTCTCAGTAATGTTTAGCTGCTTAACTACATTGACCATCATCATCTTAATCAACTTCAGTCTGGTGAAGTGGGGAGGTGGGCCACTCTTTCTTTCAATGATTTTTTTTTTAGCTCAGGTTGGCCTCACACTCACTTTACAGTCAAGGATGAGTTTGATCTTCTGATCTTTCAGTCTCTATCCCTCCCAGTATCGAGAGTACATGAGTGTACCACTGTGCCCCATTTTATGTGGTACTAGGGGTATATAATCCAGAGGTTTGTGTATGCTAGGCAAGCACTCTATCAACTGAGGTACATCCCCAGCCTACTTCTCTGGTTCTAACCATTAAACTTTTTTTTTTGCTGGTACTACTGTAATCTCTCTTCCCCTAGGTCCAATCCTACCCATCTTCTTTAGTCCTCCACCCTCTGGCATCTTCTCCCACTCTGCTTGTATTCCTATGCCTCCTTTACATTTTTTAGTTTGCTCAGCTCCTTGATATGTTACCTAACTTTTCTTTGTGTGTGTATTTCTGAGGGTAGATGGGAGGTTGTTGGTATGCACATACATGTAGGAAGGGGGTGTTGGCATGGGAGATAGGGAATGACACACAGGGTATTTCCACTTTTCAGAAAGCTAGAAAAGTCTCCAATCAACTTCTCCTTTTTATTTTAGGCACTTGTACTAGTGCCAGGAGCCTGTGGACTCTAGGTGAACATGAATGAAGGAATCAATGAGTTCTTCAAACATCTGGGGTCGGGGGGTAAGTGACAGTATCGACAGTATTGAGGAATGTGGTAGTTACCATTTCTACCTTTGCTGCTGAGGCTTACTGACAGGTCCTGTACTTCCTTAGGACAAATGGTCAGCTCAAAGAAATGGTATTGGCACTGGATGTTTTTTATCCTAGCATGTGTCAACGAATTGTGGCATCAGTGACAGAAATGGAGAGACATTTACTCGTGGACACTGTTAAGTTGGGAGAGAAGGAAGGAACAGGACTGCTAGTTTGGTTCCTGATTGCAAGTGAAGACTTTATACAAATGTTTTATGATTTTGTTCTAAGGTGGCTACTTCCTTTTTCATTCTTTTATAATGTCTGAATCGGAAAGGACCTTGGAAGCCCAGTAGTTTGGTCTTTGTTACAGAAGGGGAACCTCAAGACCAGAGAGGGGAAGGGACTTACCCAAGGCCATGCAGGGGCCACAGAGTTAGTTAATGGTAAAGCTATGACTAGAAACCAGCCACATGTTCTAGCCACCCCTTTCAAATATCCTTTTCACTATTCCATGCTTGACTCTCCATCACTGAGGTATCTGGTGCTCTGCAGTACAAAAGACACAAACTGTGCTTCTGCACAGTTGCCAGAACTGGAGGGGGATCCCACCTGAGAGAATTACACCATTATCAAAGAGTAAATGAGAGCCTGGTGTTGTGGCACATGCTTATAATTCCAGCACTGAGATGGCAGAGACAAGAGGATCAGAAGTTCAAGATCAGCCACAGCTACTGCATGAAACTGTGTCAAAATAAAGTGACTATGTTGAGCACATGTAATCCCAGTCCTTGAGAAGTAGAGGCAGGAGGTTTATGCCTTCTTGGCCAATCTCAGTGACATAGTGAATTCAAGACCAGCTCAGGCTATGAGAAATTGTCACCATCTAGCCAGCGAAATAAACAAAATGAATGTTTTGGGGGTAGGGCTAAAGTACCAGAGCACTGATTTGAGGAGAGCTGAGATTGGGAATTGGAGGAAGAAAAGTGAATACCAGACATATACCTGGAAAAGGATCTCAATTCTGAAGAAAATGAGGCCCAAACAAGGGTGGAAGGAAATATGACTGAAGAGTCCTAGAGAAGGGAATGGATGAAGTGTTGAAGAGATGAAGTTTAAGTCAAGGGAAAGTTTCCCCAAAGTAGCAAAACTCCGAGAAACTACTGTGGACAGTAGAGGTTTTGTTGTAGGTCCAGGGAACTTAGTAGATAGATGTGTGACTAGAAGTCACAGAGAAAAAGTTCAAATGCGCCCAGGGGGAACTGTCTAACAGGCAAGAAAGGCTGCCTGGAGAGGGAATGGGAGCTCTAACAGGCAGTGAGTTCTCCATCAGTGGAAAATCGCAGTCAAGCGTCTGCCAGGGTGTGGCCCCCAGTCCAGCTCTGGCCCAGATTGGGGCCGAGTCGGATGGTAGCAACGTGGAGGGTTACCGACCCTGAAGAACGTGGGAGAGGATCAGGGTGGGTTTGGATCTGAGTGGTGGGAGCCCTTCTTGGGAAGTCTGGCCTCAGCGTGGCCCCCCACGTGGCCGAGGTGGCTGGGCAGGGCTGGGCCGGACTGGGCGGGGCGAGGCCCGCGGCCGGCTGGGAGGCGGGCGCGAGGGCGGGGAGTGGCGCGGAAGCCGGTCCGCATAAAGGAGCGAGCAGCGACGGGGGCGGCTCTTTCCTGGGTGGGGTTTCTGAAGTCGTGGCCCGTTAGCAGGAAGCGGAGCAGTCGCTTTGACGCTAGTGTGGGACCCAATCTGAGCACCCGGCTCCTCCGAGTCTGAACCCGGTGTACTGCGAGCTTAGTGCAGCCCGACAGTTTCCAGCCGAACTTTGCCAACTCCGCCAGCGCTGCCGCCACCATGCCCAAGACGGTGAGTGCAGGGGACAGACGCCATGGGCCCTGGAGGGGTGGGGGTTCTAGTTTGACCCTTGCAGCCCCACGCTGATGGGCGAGGGCTCGGCGGGCCACTGGCTCGCCTGGGATGCCCTGCCCTCCGTCCTCGCCGAGGTGAGGAGGATAGTGGGGCCCTAGACTGGTGAGCCCTAGGGGGTGAGGGGGTGTCCAGACTACAAGGGTGGACAGGGTGCGGCCAGCCTCTTAGGTTCCAGTTCCCTGCCTCTGGGATGCGACAGTGGAAACTCCTGTGAAGCGTCCGGCAGGCATCCCCTCTTCCCTTAAAGGGTCGTGGGCACTGGAAGAGGACACTAGTTAAGAACACTTTCCCAGCCAAGGAATTGGCGCCTTCTGGGGCCAGGCTGCCTCTGTCCAAGAGGCGCCCTATGGTAACAGAGAAGCCGAGAGGAGGGAGGAAGTTGCTCAGGGCGGATCCCGCACTCCTATCCACCTTTCCCATAGCCACCCCACCGCCCCTCGCAGCTCCAGCTGCTTTCCCCTGGTGGGTGAGAAAGTTTTAGAGGGACTCTACAGATGGATTACTTCCTTTTACCCAGGAGCGCCAACACTTAACTAAGGCACAAGTCTGTGGTGAGGCCTACTCAGCCTACTGGAAGAGAGGACGGGTTTTCCTTCCTCCACTGGCCAACATCTCTATCAGACTTACTATTTAATGCCTCCTGAGTCCCTTGGGACTGTTCTGTGAGGTCTGGGCTCTTCTGTGGCAGCCACACCTATCTAGGGTGGTGGTTGATTGGAGATCTGAAGAGCCAAAGCCTCCTGGGAGTGGGGCCTAGGGGGGCCGGATGCCCAGGAGGGAGGGGTGGGGGAGGGGTGTGTGCTTGACTAATGAGCTCTGCTTTCTTTTGTGCAAGTCACGCCTAGAGGCTGCTTGGGCCCTCGTTCTTGAAAGCCTGACGACCACCTTGGCTTGAGTCTCTTAGGTGAAGCAGCCTGTTGGAGTGGCCTAGGCTGTACATTGCTAGCACACCGATCTTTCTAGGAGCGCCTGAGCCTTCTAGAGCTGAGATAAGGAGTAGGATTCTTGAGAAGGATGAGGGCCCCTGCGAGGAGAGGAGAGGAGATATGAGGTGGTCTTTGTGTACATTCTGATGTTTAGTTTTCACCTTGCTGTATTCCAGTTTAGCTGCCAAGTCATTCTTGGCTTTTCAGAACTCTGTCTTTAAGAAACCAAGCTATTTATTTATTTATTTATTTATTTATTTATTTGAGATAGGGTATTATGGTCTTTATATAACCCACACAGGCCTTAAATTTGGTCATGTAACTGAAGATGACCTTGACTTTCTGGTCTCCCTGCCTTTACTTCCGGAGTGTTGGGATTACAGCTGTGTGCCGTCCATGCTCAGTTTATGCAATGCACTAATGCACTCTACCAACTGACAGAGCTACATTCCCAGCTCACCTGTCTTGGTATGACATAGGATTTTTTTCACACCTTTTTCCCTCAAACCCTTCCTCATACAAAGAGAGAGAGTGGTTTTTCAAAAAAGGGAAAAAGGTGTACTGACTTGGCTAACAGTATTTTAAGGATCTTTCATGAGCTTCTCTTTGGGTTCCCCCACCTCACTCTTTCCTGCTTTTTATTATTGATTTAAAAATTTTATTTCTCTCTATGTGTATGTTGTATGTGTATGTATGATGTAGGTGTGGGTGCGTGTGCCACAGCATTTTGGGGAAGTCAGCAGACACTTCTAGAATTGGTTCTCTCTTTCCGCCTTCATCAGGGATCAAACTCATTTTGCCACTTTTGAGGCAAGTGTTTTTAACCTGCTAAACCATCCTGCTGAACATTAATATTACTTTTTTAGGTCAGCATACAAAGGAATGGGTTGAATCATGGTATAGTCTCACACACACACACACACACACACACACACACACATATCTGTATCTTCCCCTGCTCCACTACACTCCAGTCTCCCTCTCCCCCACACCTCTCGAGGTTCTCTTCCTTCTCCCAGTTAGACTCCCCTTCTGCCTTCTTACCACATACATTCCATTGTTGGGTTTTTTGTTTGTTTGTGTATTTCTGAGACAGCTCTCACTCTGAAACCTGAACTAGCCAGGAACTCACTATGTAGTAAAGTTTCATCTTGAATTCTTGACGATCTTCCTACCTTAGCCTCTAGAGTGCTGAGATTACAGGTGTGAGCCACTATACCTGAATTTTTTACTTTTTTGAGACAAGGCCTGACTGTGTGGCCCAGGCTGGCCTAAATCTCACTGTGCAGCCCATGCTGGCCCTCAAACTCTTGGCTGTCCTGATTTAGCCTCCCAAGTGCTGGGATTGTAGATATGAACCACCACCAAACTTGGCTCTTACTGTTTCTCTACTGTGTACTTACCATTTCTAAAGTATGAAAGATACAGAATGGCAGTGTAACAATTGATTGCCTTCATTCAACATGAGCCATGTCTATAGTCTGACTGTGGTCATTTTGGCTTTTATAGTCAGTTTCTCCTAGCCAGGGCAGTCTGCATTACATCTGTTGAAGCATGCCCTTCTTGGACTGTGCTTCTGGTTGCTAGTTTCCTAAGTCTGATCTTGTCTTGTCTTGTCTTTTCTTGTCCTTTTCTTTCTTCTGTTCTCCTCATGTGTTCTCTCCTCTTCTTTTCTCTTCCTCTCTTCTGTTCTCTCCTGTTTCTTTTTTCTTTTCTTTTGTTCTCCCCTCCCCTCCCCTCCCCTCCCATTCCTTCCCCTCCCCTTCTCTTCTGGAGATTGGGTCTCACACTGTAGCCCTGGCTGTCTGGGGACTCATAATGTAGCCCAGGCTGCCCTTGAACTCCTGCTGGTCCTCTGAGTGCTTGAACTCCTCCTCAGTCCTCTGAGTGCTATGATCATAGGCTTGAGGTGCTGCATTTCATAGTGTGCACCACTATGCCTGGCTACCATTCTCAACATTTTTCATGTCCTAAATAATTTTGGGGCTCCCCTGGATTCCCCCCAAATATATTTTGACTTTTCACGATGTTCTTGAGTTTTTGGTTTCATGTCTTGTGATTTACTGTTAGAATTTATGTATGTATGTATGTATGTATGTATGTATATATATATATATATATTTATTTATTTGCTTGGTTTTATGAAGACAGGGTCTCATGTATCCCAGGCTGGCTTTGAACTCCTGATTTTCTTGCCTCCACATCCCAAGTACTGGGATTAAAGGCATGTGTCACCATGTAACTACCAAGGTCAACCTTTCCCATTGAATAGAATGGGAAATGAAACTGGTGATGGGGAGGACTAACCAAGAGTGATGCAATAAGCCACTGGCAAGGCTAGCATTTACATGTAGGTCTTAGAGGGTCATTCTTAGGAAAACCTCTTTGATTTGCTGGGATTTTAGCTATGGATCATCAGAAAGTGAGGGGGTAATGAAGTGGTCATTTCACGGTACCCTCCATATGAACAGACATAGAGCCCAGCTCCTTGAAGTATTTGAAAATTTCTGGGTCTGCATTCAGCTAAACTTTAACAGGGGTTGTATGGACTGTTTATTTTCCTGCCATTCCTAGCATTGCTTGAGCCACTGAAGTGGCACTAAAGTGGTACTTGGTGAATAGGAGGCAGAATCTCAGGCTTCTAACCCTTGAACCAGCCCTGCCTGTCGACTTCAGGGTGGGGCATGGGATCAGGAATGAACCTTGTGTGAGAGGCTTCTAGCTCTCTCCACTGTTTCTGTTATTTTTCTTTTTGAGATGGGGTTTTGTTATGTAGCCATGGCTAGCCTGGGCCTCACTGTGTAGAGTAGGCTGGCTTTGAACTCATATAAATCTTCTTGCCTGTGTTTTCCAAGTGCTGGTGTTACAGATGTGAATTATAGCACCAGGCTTTTGTTTGTGTTAAGACAGTCTTGCTATGTAGCCCAGGCTGTCCTTGATCTCCCTGTAATCCTCCAACTGCCTCCTGAGTTCTGAAAATATAGGCATGTGCCACCATGGCTCTCTACATTTAAGAAATTTATTTTATTTATTATTATTATTGTGTTTGTGTGTTTGCATGTGTGAATGTGTGGAAATCAGAGGGCAACTTTCAGGAGTCAGTTCTCTTCACCTAGTACTCAGGATCTAACTCAGGTGGTCACATTTCTGTGGTAACTACCTTTACCCTCTGAGCCATCTTGCTGGCTCCTCTTATTTTAATTTTTGTTTGTTTGTTTTTGGAGACAAGTCTCATGTTGCCTAGTTTCTATGTGAACTTAATATGTAGACAAGGACGACCTTGAACTCCTAATCCTTCTTTCTCAGCCTTTCAAAGTGCTAAGATTACATATGTGTGTCACTATGTCTGGTTTTTCTCTACTTTTTTGATTGAACCCTTCATAAAAGAAAAGTATAGATAGTAGAGAACAGAACAGGAACCATCTTGGGAATTTGCTTTAGCTTTATCTATAATCTCTTATACAGGTAGGGAGTAGTCAAGCAAGAGGGTCTTTTCAGAACCTTCCAAGACACACAGTAATCTTTACTTAATCTTGAGGGAAAGGTTGTTCTGTGAGTCAGTTATGGAATTGTATCGACTATCCCATTATTCTTTAAATGCCTGTAAATGTGGCTTGTTTTAAGGAGTGTTGCCAGGCATGGTAGCTCATGCCTGTAATCCTAGCACTTGGGATGCTGAAGCAGGAAGATTGCTATGAGTTTGAAACTAGCCTGGGCTTACAGAATGAGCCTGTGTTTAGAAAAACAGAAACAAAACAAAAAATAAACCAAAAAGAGAGTAGTCTTTTCTGTGGTTTCTTATTCTATACAACTGCTTTACCTAATTGTGGAACTGGAAGGAACATTTAGAGGTCATTTAGCCTGTCCCTGTGCTTCAAAATCTAATTCTCTATGGATGAGATGTGATGACAGCTACAATTATTCTGAACTCTGTTCTAATTCTGTTGCTTGGCAACAGCCTATCTTAGGCCTCTTTGTATATTCCTGGGAGTCTGCCCCCACCCCCACTGG